CAATCATCTTCTTATAACAGGATGTTCAAAGCGGCTTACTGCAACTTCGCACAAACAATGATCACCTTATTAGACCAAATTCATAGGCTACACGTATTTATGTCTGATTGAGTAAGTGAGGCAGTAGCCAAGCTTTTAATAAGGTAACCTAGTCTAAAAAGTGTGAGAAGAGTAGTATTGAGAAATGCCGTTTGAAACGTATATGCAGAAAAGGACCCCAGAAACGTCTTTTTCAAAGTAATAGAAACGCATTTGACACATTTACGCTCAAGAATGTTAGTATTCATGACGGAAGTATGTTGATCATTATTCCCAGAGTTATGCCGTTAAAATTTATCTAAGCCTATCGGTGACCTTCAAACGGTTTCAATTCAGGTATTTCAGATCTCATTATTTTCACTCTACTCGTCACAAACAGTTCTGGATCGGGAGGACTCTTTGGATCTTAGAACTGAAAAGCCTCCAAATGTTTCCAAGTATACTTAATTTAAAGTCGTTCACGGTATTACAATTTTCGCCCGCACGCATTCTCTGAAATTGTTAAATGCCTTATTTCATTGAAAATTATGGGGAAACACATCATCTTTTCACTCCTTACAATTGTAATGTTTTCTCCGCCTAGCATATGAGAGAGTCGCTCACACTAGGTATATATCATCCCCTCAGCGAATAGCCGGCGACGGGTGTCTCTTTTGGATACTATTCCCGCCATAATTCGGTCACAGTCTCCCTCACGGCTGGCCGAGTCGTCACATTGAGGCTAACACAGCGTGCTTCGCGTAGTTTTCCTTGCAAACTGTTGTTTACAACCTCACACATGACCTCAAGCGATTTTTTTAGCAATCTAAATCGTTTCAAATCTACAAACGATTTAAGAAAACTCAAATTAGAAGAGCTGAAGGCGATCTTGAGGAATTTTGGCCAGCCAACAAGCGGAAAAAAGAAGATCTTATCCTGCGTTGCTGCGTTCTTGTAAAACGATCGAGAGGCGGTCCTTTGATTGATACAAACAACTTTTCTGTGCATTCTACATCCTGTACAGCTGATGTTACTTATGAAGTAGTCATTAGGGAAGCTAATAATTGCGTGTGGAGCAAAGACCTGAGACAACTACCCGCGTTTACGTCTGTCCAACTCTATGATTATCTTGCGAAGAAGACATTGAAATACAGCAACCTCGATGTGTCAGCGAGCGCTGGATACAAAAAGTTGAAAGCCTTCAACTTTTTCAAAGAAGGCCACATCAAGGATCTTCAACTTTTCCAAAAAGACAGCCATGTATTTGTTAAAGCAGAGGATCTGGCCTCTATGAAATCCGAGAAATACAAGTCTGTTTTGGTTTTTAATCGAACGAACAAGGATTTAGTAAAGGCAGCTTGAAAGTGTCATGCGGGGTAAGTACTAGTATGAATTTTTTTAGGATTTCAAGATAAAACTTGCCATTTGGGAGCCTCAAATACCTCGTCTATAATGGATGGATTATTCTCTTTCCAAAAGTACTATAGTATTATCAGCTTTTCTCGCCTTTAAATGGTGCAAGTTTGGCTTGGCCCAAAGAATAATTATCTCTTTTCAGAACTTAAGTATTTCTTCCTATTGTTTGCGTTTTATCTATTTTAACAATGAAGTATTTTCTCTGATATTAGTTAAGATGTTGAAGTACATCATGTATAGAAATT